ATCCTTTTCTGCTGGCTTTCTCCATTTTTTTGCATGTGTCTTGGAGTTGTATTAACATCGAGACTAACCTTATGTGGCTCTAGTATTCAAAAGCTATATTGTGAAAACTGGTCAGTTGTTAAACTGTCCTGTTTTTCTACAACAGTAAATAATGTGATTGGGTATGTAATCATTATTATATATTTTGGACATGCAGTATTGATATTTTGCTCATACATTCACTTGATTGGAAAATGCAGAAAGTCAACAGAGGGCAGAAACAAATTCATACAAACATGTGTACCACATCTGCTTGCACTGCTCAATGTGACTGTTGCATTGCTGTTTGATGTGCTGTACACTCGGTATGGTTCTAGGAGTATGCCACAAGATTTGCGTAATTTCATGGCACTAGAATTTCTACTCGTTCCTCCCATGTTAAATCCCCTTATTTATGGACTAAATCTGACAAAACTACGGAAGGAAGTAATGAGACTTTTTAAAAAAAGAAGTAGAAATATTTGAGTAAATTTTTTTTTGTTAAAATATAGATTTTTGTTATCTTAAACATTATTGTATTATACTTGTATTATAGACCTCCCCCCCCCCCTATTTTGTTGAAAACAATGTACAATTTGTGATGGCTAGTAGGTTTTTTTCTTTTTTTGTCATATGTATTCAACTATATTGATTTAGCTTAACTGTCACATGTTGATGATGATGACTTTTTTTTTACTGTATCAATTATATATTTGTTGTGAGGAAACAATGCAAGCCATTGATGCACCACATGTTACTAATATGTGTAAATTAAATAAAAAAATGTCCAAAGTGTGTGGCAAAAGCATAACAAATGACATTAGAACTGAAATAAACCTTTTGAAACTCTGTTCTTTATCTTTGTTTTACAGACCACCTGATTATCTTTTACATTTTTAGAAAGTTTGAAAATCACTTCTCTTATTTTAAGGTTGTCTGAGTAATTCTAGATGTCTCTAAACAAATGTTTAGGGAAGTAATTACATTTTTTTTTTACATTTTCACATTGCCCTCACAAACTGCTTTCTATGCAGTGACTGAATAATTACTTTTCCTAAACTTTTATCCGTATGTAATGTAGCGCCCCTACCTTTTTTAACAGCTTAGTAAGGAGCAGCACCAGGTTCAATATACTAATGCCTAAGAGATTATGCATTAAGTCTGATGTCACTGAATGAAGACATTTACTCTTAGAAAGTTGTTTAGAATTAAAATAAACTATTTTTCTTCGATGATTTACCGATTAATTCACTGTATTTACTCAATCAATCGCTCATATCAGCCGTTCTCTTTCTCTCCCCTTCTCCCTCTCAACCGCTCACATTTTCCCATTTCCCAGGGAGGGAGGGTCTTAACACAAAATGAAAATAAAGCCCATCCTAACTTGTAGGGCAAAAGCATGTTTTTCACATGTGCCCAATATTCAAACTTACTAAAGATAACGGCTCCATATAAGCACTTACTTGAGCACACTGAGTACACTGTGCCATAGAGTGACACTACAGGTTTTTTTTTTTCTGACTCTCCCCCACTCTTCACATTAATGACCATTCCTCTATGAACCAGGGTTAAAGGTCTCTTTTGGGGCAAGAATAAACAGTCTATATCTCTCCGGTAGCATTATCTATGCCAGGCTCCCCCCTTCTAAACCAGGATCTCTTGGTTCATCTGTAATTTGAAAGGAGAGTTCTCTATGGCAGTGTTTCCCAACCTTTTTTCTGCCACGGCAGATTATTATTGATAAATAAAAAATCCCACTGCACACCACTAAGCACTGAACTACAGAGAAAAAAAAAATACAAAGGGGGGATTTTAAAATTTTTTTTAAATTAAAGACTGCAACGTCAGAGATGGTATTATCTAGCTCAATTAATCTAGCTCAAATGGAGTTAACAAGGTTTTTGACCAGCAAATGATGGCAATATGTGTTTTGTCATTAGAACAGCCGCATCTGAGGCAGTGAGTGCATCGCATTATGTTTTCATCAACTTACAGGTTATAAAGTTTATTGTAGTTATATGGGAGCTCAGATTTTCTTGTTCTTTAATACACTTTGCCAAAATCTCATAATATAAAGATGAAGCGCTATGCACAGGATATTTAAAATGTACAAAAGTATATTGGTTACTAGACGGCAAAAGACTCTTCTCTGCTCTTCAAACACACACACACACAAAAAAAAATTAGCCTTTACATACATAGTGTTTCTTGAGTAAAGGAAATGCTGTACTTATTCGAACATCAGTTCTTTATTTACCCTTGCATTGTGAACAAGTGGAGATCCATATCCAGACTGTGTGCGACGCTTCATTCTGAATGGAGGCGGGTGGAGTTTTGAGGTTTCGCTCACAGTTTGAAGATCCAATGGAGTTACGAGGTTTAGTCACAAGCTCTTTTGAATGCTTTTCATTGGTAAAATTTTTGTAAAACCCTCAAACAGACCAAAGAAAGACCAATAGCACTGATTTAAAATAATAATAATGAAATTTAATAGAGATAGGAAGTTTGGATAATTTTCCACATTTTCCACTAGTGTGCTCGGTTGGGAAACACTGCTTTATGGCCTCCTTCTGTTAAAATTGGTTCAGCCATTTCTGCATGGGATTTATCCAATTCATCTCCATGGCAAACGGTGTCCTCCTCCACAGCAGATCCATCCTGTGCATCACTCTTTAGCCTGGGCTGTCTCTCTACCCTATCCGGGTAGTAATACCACAGATCATCCTCCTCACTTCCAGAATAAGTCCTTGGTTCACCTTCAGTCAGCGCCACATTCCTTCTTCTTAACCATTTTCTTTGTTTTCTCTCCACAGATCATGTCCTGGTCTCCAGTGGTGCAAAAACTTTCCTTGGCTCTTCAGAATCAGACAACCTCACTTCATCCCCAACAAGTAAGAGGTGATCTCTATGTAGAGTCCTTACACTTCCCATCCCTGATTCAGATTTCAGTTGGTATACAGGTAAGTTCTTCAGCTTTTCCACCACCAGGTAGGGTACCGAATTCCAGTTGTCGGTGAGGTTGTGCTTTCCAGTCAATGTCAATTTTTTTTTTATCAGCACCCGATCTCCCACTGCCAGAGTCTGATGTTTTGCTTGCTTATCCTACAACTGTTTGTTCCTCTGTTGACTTTTCAGGGCAGTTTCAGTTGCTAACTGATATACTCTCTGCAACTCTGACTTCATTCTTTTCACATATTGGTGATGATTTCTGGCTCCCACTCCATGAGTCAATGTCCCGACACACAGATCCACTGGTAGACAAGCCTCCCGTCCGAAAAGCAGATAATACAGCAAATGCCCAGCGGCCTCATTCTAAGTACTGTTGTAAGCATGTACTAATTGATTAATGTGTTGACTCCATCTGCTTTTCTCTGCACGGTCCAGTGTACCAAGCATGGAAATATGCGTTCTGTTGAAACTTTCAGGCTGTGGGTCACCTTGGGGATGGTAGGGAGAATTCCTTGATTTTCGTATCCCAAGCATTCTTACCAGCTCCTTTATGAGACCACTTTCAAAATCCCGTCCCTGGTCTGAATGGATATGGGATGTTAAGCAGTAGCAAACAAAGAATTTGTCACAGTATTTTTGCCACTGTTAGAGCTTTCTGATATTTAGTTGCAAACGCTTGGGTGTAACGGATGAAGTGGTCGATGACGACTAGTACACTACCCATACCTTTTGAGTCGGGTTCAACTGACAAGAAGTCGATGCACACTAAGTCAAAAGGCCCACTGCTGGTCATGTGGTGTAAAGATGCAACCTTCTTGGGTATTGTCTTACATGCTATACAACGGCCACAATTCTTGACATACTACTCAATGCATGCAGACATTCTAGCCCTCTGGGGTCCGAGGGTGTTTTGGGGCCTTGGAGAAGTTTTGACATGCCCTGATATTTGTGCTTTTTTCAGTTGCTTATAAACATTTTAATGGCTAAAATTTTATTAACACTGTAATCAGCACAAACTGGGCTACAATAATATGTGAGCAGCATGTATGTACGTGATTGTGTTTTTGAGAAAACAACATTTATGCATGCTTAGTGAAAAACTAAAATGTTAAAGTCACTGAAATAAGGCCATAAAACACATACATAACATTTGTTCACAAGACTTTTGAGAAC